TGTAGCTCTTACATAAACGGAGCAAATGTACATAAAAGGGCTAATTAAAAAAAGATAAATTAAAAGTCAACTTGAGGTCTAGGGGGAACATATGAGCATCTTAGATTTAAAATTATGTAATAATTTTTTTTGATGAAGTTCCCAACTCTGGGAGTGGTGGGGGAAGCAGGGTGTTGTGTAGAAGGTTGCCTGCACATTTATGAAGATATGTGGCAGCATTAAGGCACATTTCTAAAGAGAAACCCTGATATATCTCCCTGAGGAAGCATGAAAAATAGTCCTACAGAGCAGTAAAATCATAGGAATAATCTACACTGGAGCTCATTATCAGTGTAATCTGGCAAGTTCTTTGAGTATAAGAGAACTAGAGAGAGGTGACAAGAGAGAGCAAAGGTGTGGAATAAGGAGAGAGGAGGAGACATTAAACAATTTAGGACTTTGCACCTTGGAAAGGAGCCACTGGGAGGACAAAAGGAAGTAATAAAGCTTTATGAAAGGAGGACTGGCACAGAAGGTGAGTGAAGAATATCTGGCATTTCTGAGACCATGAGGACTATTGGGACGTCCAATAACAATTTAGCTATAAATCAGACAGATGGAAGGTTTATTTTATACAGAGTTTTCACAATATTAGCCATTGCCAGAGAATGATGTGGAAGTTAAAAGCACAGAGAAGTCAGAGTTATAAAAATAAGTGGAAGAGAGGTGACAAATTTATTTTTATCAGCAAACATACATTGTTATAGTAAAGGGAAGAGTTAGCTTTGAGGAAACATGGAAAAATCCTATGGCACTGAGTGATAAAGTAGCATTTTAAATTCAGCATAGTGAAGTAATGCAGCTGGAGAACAGCCCCCACTGTATGAGTACAGCGGTGAGCTCTGAATTAGCTTTTCCAGACAGAGTGAGAACTGGGGGTTGTAATAGGCAGTTCTACCAAAATATTGTCTCAGTGTTTGGAAAAGCAAATTGAAGATTAGATGCTTGTGGAAAAATAATAGTGATCAAACTAGGCAACCTGCTGGTGTGTGAAGTCCCAGTGCAGCCGTGGTGTGAATGCTGCAGGAGCAGTGGTCCCATCGCTCTCAAAGCCCAGGGAAACTGGGAGAGATCCTGAGAAGGTTGAGGGGAATGATCAAAGGTGTGGAATGGGTTCCTTGGAAAGAATGATAAATAGGTCAAAACTCTTCAGTATCAAAAAGAGGTCTTTGAAGAGGGTGTGAGGGAAGCACGGAGTCTTAGCAGCATGGAGCATATGTGAACCCATTTTTCACTGTCTCTTTTGAGGAGAGGACTAAGACCACCAAATGGAAATAGTGGGTGGCAGGCTCAAAATAAAGCAAGATATTTCTAAAGTGGGAGCACGACCTCCTCCTTTCTCTTTGGCGTAGAGTTTTTAATCTGTTGGAACAATTCCCTGGATTTAAGCTGATTTATTCTGCAGTTAACACTTCATCAGAACGCTGTTCGTAGGGCTTTGAAAGATTAGCTCTAGAGCTCTGCTCACAAGAGAAATCCTTTCAAATGGTGGAGTAGGGATATGCAGCCTGGCTGGCTAAAACAGCCCCTCTGATCACTTTTCATTGGGAAAATCAGTGCAACTTCTCAACAGAGTATTTCAGTGGAAATACCTGGTAAAGTCAAGTACGGTTCCTGCAGCTCAGAACAAACAGCCTGGCCTTGTGTCTGGTGTTCTGAGGTTGTGATTGGAGTATTAAAACTTGGTGGCAGCAAGAGCTAATGTACCCTCTGGGACCGTGAGTTGAGATGGTGGCATTTTCTTATGCTGTGGTAGGACATCCAGCTTCATCTACTACAGGAATACAACAATAAAAAAACAATTTGGGATTGCTCCAAAACAGCAGAAGGTTTTGCCTTCATGGAAACCAGACATGGTTCCATTGTATGAGTACTGTTTATTTGTGGTTTATTACCTGTGCTTTGTTGTGTTTGCATATTTATTGACAGAATTGATTTCTTGCCATTTTAGGCCAATTCAGAGCACCTTGCTAAACATTTATTTACTGAATTGTAGAGACATCACTAACTTAGACTCATAGACTGCTCAGAAGAACTGTGCTTTGGGGTTGTGTTTAACATCTGCTTCTGACCTGCAGAATGGCTGCTGGTCACAGACACGTGTCATTATTTCCAGCTCATTAAATAAAAGCTGTGACCTCAATCTGCAAATGTTTGAGATGCTCGGAGTTTGGTGGGGTCTGCTGGTGTTGCTGAGCCAACCCCCCGCTGCAGTGTGAGCGTGTGGCCTCGAGGGCCTTGCTCCTGAGCAGGGCACGGCTGTGCCCGAGGCTGGACCGGGCTCTGGAGGTGCTGAGGAAATGTTTTGGGTAAGGTGGGTTATTATCATTTTACTTTTAAAGTGTTATTCTGATCCAGGGTAATTGGATTACTGAGGTTTCACAGATCACTGTGTGTGGAGAGGTCTGAGAGCACCCACAGAACACAGCACAAGTCAGCTGAAACTCATTAGCTGACATTGCTGTGGGAGAGGCTCGCAAGAGAATCCACACTTTGGTTCCCTGATGGTGACTTAAACTAATGTGATAGTCTTTTCAATTGGGTTTGGCACCTGATAGTACCACAATTCACCCAACTAATACTGTCTTAATTACATCTTATGGTACGACTGTCCTTCTTCAGAACATTTTAAATATATTCTGAGGGTTTTTTTAGGTATCACGGCTATAACATTGCAATACTGGGCATGGGGTAGATCATGTATCTGCCATTTTCCAAAAGGATATGGCAATGAAGCTTGGAGAGGGAGGGGAAAAAGAGTTAAGTTGGAGGAATAAAATCAATCCAGAAGTAACCAGCGCTCTCCTTTAAACTTAATTCTGCCTAAAGGAGAATATAGGAGAAATGTGCAGGTAATGTTACACAAAGGAAATACTAAACCAAGTAAAAATATTTGATAATTTCTCTTGGGGTGAGTGTTGGCAAGCTAACCTGTCTTTGGAGAAGGTGTTGTCAAGAGGCTTTTTGTAGGGTCGAGGCTGGTGTTCTAACCCTTGCTGTTTGCCAAGAGCCTTGTGTTGGGAAGGTCCTTCTCTGGACAGCACATGTGAACTTCTGGGAAGTTGTGGCTGCTCAGAGCTGTGCAAACGGGCTGTCAGAAGGAGTCAGTCTTTGATGTAGCCTCCAGAGTGTTACTTTATATTGCATATTTTTGTTTTGTGACATTGGGATGAAAGTACTGTGGGTGTAATAGGTCAAGCTCTTGATTATTTTTGTGACTGTCAGGGAAGGAGAGATTTCATGGGCGAGGCTGCCTTACTGTTTTCTCTGCAGCACAAAGCCTGAGAGTAAATACCCTCTGTTCACAAGGAACAGCAGTGTTTCAGTGCACTGGGCAGGAAGCTTCTACAGGACTTGAGAGAGATAGACCCTGTCTGAGGTACATGTGGATGTACAGGCAAAGGGCAATTATCAGGTATGCCATGTCCTAGGCATTTGCTCTTGAACTCTCTGAGACTGGATCTTGCACTGCTCAGATCCTGAGCAGTTCTTCACGTGTTCTTTTTCTGGAAAGTATTGAACATTTTTCAGAGTTGGCAGTCAATTTAATATTAAGCCTGTTATTTTGACATATTAACATCTGCCCTGAAAAATCTACCAGATGAATTTCTGCTTCATCTATGGTTTACTGTGAAGTCTGACTTGACTCCTTATTCATTATTAAACAGTTTTAGAAAGGGAATTTTTAATTAATTCTGATGTGTGGCTGTAGCAGCCACACCTACTTATGGATATTAATTTTTCTTTTTACTCTGGTCTGTGATATTTTAAGGTTAAAAATCTCATTGTTTATTCATCTATTTCCACTTGCAGCAAGGGAAATTCGCACTGGATTAAAGGAAACTATTTTAGCAATGAGAGTGGTGTGTAATGCTAGAATCTACATCCACAGAGATTTTCAAATCTGTAAGGCCCTGAGCAACTGGATCCAGCTTTGAAATTACTCCTGCTTGCAGAGGAGTAATCTCTCCTCCAGAAATCCCTTCCAGCCTGTGTGACTCTGCAGTTGTGTTTGGGTCCCTACACAGGAACTCTGCCGTGTTCCTGCCGTGCCATCCTCACCTGTGGACGAGGCTCTCAACAGGCTGCTGAGAAACTTCCTCTTGTAATTCTTACTGAGAAATTAGTTTTAGACTTTGGTGTAATCAGCTTGTTCCTTAACTGTTGCTTTGGTGTAGTGTGTCCTTGTCTCATGCTGGTTTCTATGGAATGAAATCAGGAATTAATTTGCTGTAACCCAGTCTTTCTAAACAAGGAGGGGTTAAACATGAAACCCATGTGGTGGTTTAACTTCATTCAGAACTAGAGTATTAGAACTAAATCACTTGTATTGTGATCTTCAGTTAGTTTTGAAAGAAGTAATACCTTTGTGTTTTAACATCCTCAGAGCTCTGTTTACAATAACTGGATGTCCTAGCTGGAGTGCCTGTGGGATCATGGGTTTCCATTGTGAGATATGTGATGTGAAACCGCCTTAAGCTTGTGAATGTTTTTGGAGTACCCCAAGTGTACGAAACTGAATTTCACTTAATAGGAACCACTTTAACATACACTATGATTTCTTAATGACAGTGAAGCTCTGAGTTGATCTTAACCAGGGACCTTGGTTTGGAGTAAGGAAGTTTGGGTGAGGAAAAAAGAAATTATTACTTCTAACCGATAATAAGCAAAAGCTATGCAGATTCAACCTACCGTTCTAAAAACTGTTCTTTTCCTGGTATAAGTTGTTTACCCAGTCCAGTTCACACATTAGATAGCTTTGGCTTCTGATTTTGACCACTCAAACATGAATCAGTGTGGGGATGAATGAGGAAAGGGAGGGAAAGAAGGATGGAGCAAAAGGGAAGCAGATGTTTTTTGCTGCCTAAGGTGCCAACAGGGCTTGGATTTGGAGGGACAGAATCTCACCAGGAAACAAGGTACCTTTAAGAGGATGTGTCTTTTGGACTTTGGCAGATCTCAGGCAGTAATGGCCAGAGCTTTTGCAGGAAGATCTAAACTCACAAGCAACCAAGAATAACCACTGGAATCTGTGGAGAGCAAACTGGGTTTGGGTGCACATGGAACCTGGTAAGTAGGTCAGAGATTCCTCCTGGGGCCTGATCTGACAAACTTAAAATCTGGGGAGGCATATTTGGTACAGAGTGCCGTCCTCCTTTGGCCTCCAGCTAGTTACAGAAAGGCATTCCTAATTCTATGGAAAACATCAACTGCCTTCCAATGGTATTTTACATATCTACTTTATATGTAGTTTTATAACTGACATTAGACAGCAGTCATTCTTATGAATGATGTACTGCTTAAGCAGGTGGTGTTTTCCATCCTGTCTCTCTCCTGTATTCGTGCAGGTGTTTGCAAACTGCTCCTGGAACTCCTAAGGGAGGATACTCACAGTGACTGAAAGAAAGTGTGGTTCATTGCTGCATCACAGAGTCACAGACTGGTTTCAGTTGGAAGGGACCTCAAATATCTCATCCCTGTCCCTGTCCCCTGCCACGGACACCTTCCACTGCACCAGGTTGCTCCAAGCCCCATCCAGCCTGGCCTTGGACACTTCCAGGAATGTTTCTATCCTCTCTGAAATAAGACATTATGACCTGTTTTATCAAAAGGCTTCTATCCATTTCAGGAACTTATAACATGAATGCCCATGCTGATGCATACTTAGGTGTTCATTTACAGCCCTGCTTACCCGTATCCAGGGAGCACCATGAAGACTGTAGTGAGTTAACTGCTTTATTTGTATATTTGCCTACTCTGATGTACATGATCCTCAGCTTAGACTGCAGGAGTTGGAGATGACTCCAGAGCTCATTACATGTCTGGTCCTCATGACATGAGCTTGTTCTGATGTTCATGTGATTGTCTTATAGGCTCCTTCAGCTCACTAAAGCAGCAGAAAGGTAGCTTGGCAAACAGTCTGCATTAAGTCTGCTCATGTTACAGTCAAGCATTCCAGACATTGCCTGAGGCAGGGATTGGGTTCTGCCTGCAAGGGGACAGAGCAGAGTAGAGAGCTGAAGGGTCTGATGTTCCTTTTCAGAGGCTGTCAGGTGAAACTTTAGTTCCTCTATGTCCTGAAATAATACCTTACAACAAGACAACTCAGAGTTCTGTTCTGTATCCACTATCTAAATGGATTAGAGGCTAAGTGCAGGCCCCACATATCCTCTGGCAGCGTAGTGAGCATGTACAGTATCTGCTCTCTGATTCAGCTGGAGAGCTAATGCTGCCCAAACACCTGGTTTCTTACAATCAAACTTCAAATCAAGGTCTTTGTAGTTGACAGATTTAGAAAAAAGGTGGCACACAAGGAACTGGAGGAGCCTTTTCATCAGTCAGTTCACTGATCCAAGTGAAAGCTAGTCTTGAGGGAGGGAGTAAGCAGATCTGATTTGCCAGATTATTGCATAATCATTGGCCTGGTGCAAGGGAAGGAGAGGAAGGAAGTTCTGGCTGGCACAGGGAGGGAGGACGGGAGCATCCCTTTTGGCAGTGACCCACAATTGTATTAAATGAATAATGAAATTTCCTCCTGAAATTTCCTCATGAATTGATTCTGAGTTGTCCTGTATCTGTTACTGGTTTTAACTGTGCTAACCAGAGTTGTTTCTCCTGGCCAGCTGCCTCAGGATGGGCATATAATTCAGCCTGACACACCTAAGGATGTTTTCTGCTTGGAAGTGAATCCACAGACTGGAAATGATGGGAGAGCTGTACAGCAGTTGCAGTGGGTTTGAAGTAATGGCACTGATACTTCAGGCTGTCCTTCAGATGGCACAGGGTGGGCCAAACTGAAAGAGCTTGTTCACTGAAGCTCAAGGAGCAGTGCTGCATGCATAAGGGGAAAATTTCATTATTGAGGAAGAAGGAGCAAAACCCATATAATAAAAATCTTATTTTGGCAATTTGTTTTTCATACAATGTATATGTGTTCTTAAAATTTATATCAGTCCCTTGAATGCCCCTTTTGCAAGCGGTTTGTAGCTAGAGCAGATGAAACTGCATCCTGAGACTTATGTCTGTCTTCTGTGTACATTGGTATTCTTATATTCAATACCTATCATTATTTAATTCTAAACAATATGTATTTGCTGTGATAAAACTTAAGGTCTCTCCCACGTCCTCCAGGGTGTATAACTTGGAATTGGAGATGCTGAAATGTTTGATCAGCTTTTGCCTGCAAGTATACTACTTTCTGATGGCCAAACCCCATTTATTCAAGTTTGAATGAAGTAAGAAGAACAGTTTGGGTTTGCTCTGTGAAGCCAGAAGTGGTTCAGGTGTATAACATACAGAGCACAGTGAAAGGCTGTTCATTACCTGAATGAGCTGAACCCAGAAGCATTTGTGTCTTCTTAGCTGCTGAGGAGCAGAACTGTTTGTTCTTCTTGAGCTTTTCACATGTCTGTGATGATTTTTAAGTTTGGTTTATCCAGACTCCACTACATTACACTGCACATGCCAAGAGATGTGACCAAAACTACTGGATGCTATTTCTTCACTGGTGAATATATGTTATGACATTGGGTTTAGGTTGTACAATTTATATATATGAGTGAGCACAAAAAATTTAAATGGAAGTTACTGTACAGATTTTTTTTCTTATGCATTTGATCTCAGTATTTTTCTTCCATCCCAGTAGCACCTCACACAAATGAACTAAAAATGTCAATCAAAATTGCATTACAAAATACAAAAACCGAGGTCTGACTAATTGCTTGTTTAGCTATACAATAACTTAAATGATGGTTCCTCCCACGCAGCAAGAAGGCTCAGTTGAGTGTAATGGTTATATTATGGAATGGTTTGGGTTGGAAGGGACCTTAAAAATCATCCAGTTCTGACCCCCTGCCATTGGCAGCGACACCTTCCACTAGATCAGGTTGCCCCAATCCCCGTCCAACCTGGTCTTGGACCACTGCAATTTAATGTTTGGTAACCAGTGAAAATGCAACCTTTTCAATAAGATAAATAAAATGCAAAATCAGCATTAAATTTCAGTAAATTGAAATCTGCTGTTTCATGATAAAAATCATTGTTAAAATCTCATTTAAATGGATTTCCAACCCACTTTGCTCTGGAACACTTTGCTTTGCTCAGTGCAGTATGTACTCACATTTGGTTAATTTTTTTCACTTAAAATGTAAAAATGCACTGTCAGTTAGGAGGCATGGCTGAAATGAAGCAGAAACAAGCTTGAAAGTCAAACTGCAGAGGAAAATGAAGGGTCTGGTGGAAAGCAGTCAAATTTCAGCATAAGCTGCTTACGAGTAGGTTGCTGCTGAAGAGAGCATTTCCCAGAGAGTGAGTGCTGGGGAGCAAGTGAGGTCAGGTACAAAGAGTGAGTGCCTCTGCAGGTGAGAGCTCGAAGGTGGAGAGAGAGGGCCAGAGAGGAGATGGCATGGGGAGAAGCTGCAGTGGATGCTGTGATGGTTACAGAGCTGATGAAGAGCTACAGATGTTTTGGTTTGGACAAACATCCAACCAAAACCTTTGAGAACCCTCACCTGTGCCTGCTGGGGTAGTGGAAGCAGGTGGCTCAGTAGAGGTGAAAGAGTCCTTGAGCAGATTCATTTGAACATGTCCTTTGCCGTGAAACTGGTAAAAATGGTCTGTGGTTTAGTTTGAGCTGTGCAAGCTCTGACACTGGGTAATGTGGGTGCTGCTCTAGGGTGGTGCCACTGGACATGAGGGGGACATGGGACATCATGTGAATCACATGACTGATGGTAGCAGCCACTGCTTATTTCATTTGCTTTTAGTGGAACAGCTTATTCAGGGAAATGCTGCAAGGCTGTTTGAAAGAGCCATGACCAGAAAAGGCTCTTTCAAAGACAGTAGTTTGCATCATTTTCATCGGAGAAATTTCTCGTGCCAGTTTATATCCTGGGTGTCCCTCTCTAAAACTTCTGGGACTGTCCTGTACAGGGGAGTACGTGGGTCAGTGTTCTCATGGGTACTGGTCAAGGTAATGCAAAACAATTTGAAGACTTTTGCTGTATTGTTGCCTGTTAGTTCAGATGGTCGGCAGGGATGGTGTCCTGCTCGCTGAGCTCAGTTACACCTGTGGCAGTGTGACACTGACTTTAGTTAGAATTGGACTCCTCCAGAATTAAGCTGGGCACGGACCTTTTCCTTACAAAGCCATTGTTAGATGTAGGTCTTGTTTAAGCTCCTTAGAAATTATATTTGCCAGCTGGCATTTCTGTTCTAGGTGTAGCCCAGATTTCAGGGTGGGTTAGGAAGCTGCTGTTGCTCGAGTGCAGGAGCTGGCACTGCACTAGTGAAGCAGAACAGAGTTCCTCTGCAGGCACGCGGTTTGTCTTGGAGAGGGAATGCCATGGGGTGCATTCCCAGAAATATATGAGCTGGAACGCAGAGTGAGTAACCTAGGAAAATATTTTTAAAGGGAATTTGGATCTTTTGCCTGTTTTGCTGAAAGTTTGCAATGTCAGCCAGCATTTTAATGTAGAAAACAGAGTAGCCTGTGCAGGTTTTGGGAAGCACACTGCTGCCCAGCGGCTTGCAGAGGGCTGAGGAGCAACACAACAGGAGTGCCCAAGGGTCTCAAGGCCCATAAATGAAACTTAGCTGAGATCTGCCAAGGCTGCAGTCTGCCCAACCAGGCTCAGGAGCCCTGTCAGGCAGCTGGTCTTCCTGTGTGTGAGAGCAAAGCATGGAAGGCACAGAAAGTGGGAATCCCCCTATGAAGAAAGGGAAAGTTGCTGTGGAAAGCTGCACAGCACACACGGCTGGAGAAATGCCTGAGCAGCAAACGTGCAGGCTGTGGGTAGAGTGTTTGAGTTCTAGCATGGGCTGCATGGGTTTGTTCACATCTTCCTTTGCACGCCAGGAGCAGCATTTCTGCTTTCCATCTCCTTAGAAGTGGGCGGCTGTGTCGGAGGGTGGTTCTCAGGAACATAACTTGGATTGTCATGGCTGGAAGTGCCATCAGTCCCTAGAGAGGAGCTGCCTCAGCTGGGCTGTGCTGGGCTGTGCTGGGCTGTGCTGGGCTGCTGAACGAGGCAGTGCATGTTTTTGGTAGCACAGCTTGGTAACCGATCGGTGTGATTTTGCCCCAGTGTGGTTAACATACAAAGCAGGAGTATAGCAGGCTATGGAGGTAACAAATTAGAAGCTGTATTCAAGTTGAGATGAACAAACAAGAATTTTTAGCCTCTGAATGCAAGGTTTTGTTGGACTGAGTTCCTTAGCAGTGTGGAGAGATTGCACCCACATAAGAAAACAGTTGAAGTCAAAATGCAGCTCTTGCAGTTCCCAACCCTGTGGGAAGCAGTTGTGCCAGAGCCTCAGTGACCAGGACCTGGAGCCTCAGTCCCTGCAGATGATGTGGTTTCTTGCTCAGTGGGCCCAGGTCTGTAGGACTTGTGCTCTTGACTTACTGAACTCACTTTACTGCAACTTCTTCCTTTGTATATTGAAATTGTGTAAATTGAGAGTAGCCTTATCTTGGAGTAAGCACACAAACATGGATTTCAGATCTTATTTATAGGTAGGTGCTTCCTTTCTGAGGCTCACCAGCCTTGTTTTTTTGTAGCCTTCTGTCTTCTACCCTGATTCTAATCTCCATGCTTAATGATTCACCACATCTTTCCTGGATTCTTGTCTTACTGATTTTCAAAGAGGAGAGAATCTACTCCAGCCTTCAGGAAACCTTTGGAAAGGGATGGATGGTTTCAGCTGGGGGATTTGAGTGTATTTATAGTAATATATAAATAGAGGCAAGAGGAATACTTACAAAGCAGGTGGTACAGGGACGTTTATAGAAAAAATGTATGATTTATACACGGATCGTTCCAGGCAAACCTTTTGCTTTGCCTGTAGTCTGTCTTCTACAGAGCTCTTTTGAGTGCTATGAATATTTATGCTGCTTTGTTGTGTCAGCTTATGAAATGACATGTATGTCTCTTTAAATAACAGGAGGAGTGGAGGAGGAATTTGATTGTTTCCTGGGCAGACATGTCTGCAGAGCTTTTACAAGGAGTCTTTAACACAGTTGGAGCAGAGAATAGCCCCAGATCAACAACATCCCACCCTTCCCTTTGCCTCTGCACTTGCAGATGTGCTTTACAAGGTCTCTCTGCTACATAGCATTCTCTTCTGCTCAGACGTGCCCCTTTGCCATGTCTCAAACCAGAAGGTGTGTTGCTGTTGGCATAGCAGGGTGCTTGCCTGAAGTTGTGGCAAATAGTCCTGTAGAGCGAGTCAGATCTTGTGCTGTGATCATAAGTTACCCAGACTCAGTGCAGGGCAATCACACTGAGCTTGCTAAGACCTTGGGAAGAGAAAAGTGCATGCATCTACCTACAGGATATCCTCTGAACGGATTGAAATGACGTCCTGAGGCTGTGACAGCTGTTTTTGTGGAGAGCTCCCAAACGAGTGGATTGGGAAGAGCTGGTTCAGCAAGCTAAAAAAAGCTGCTTGCAAGCAGTGATGGGGACCACCTGTACCTTTTCCTTCAAAAAACCATCAAAAAGCTTTAAGTTTCTAGGAAAGGAGAAAAAAATCAAATTTGCTGGATGAATAGATTTAGAATCAAAATGTTTAGGAAAAAAATTCACCGTCTGGCCCTTTGAGGCTGTGCAGGTTTGATCTTTCTGTGTGATTTAATCTCAGTTCAGCAATGTTCAGTGGCTTCCTGGCCCCCCTCAGCATTGGGCTCTCTCTCATCCCTTCGGAGGCCTTGCTCCTGGGTGAGAGGGCAGAGGAGCTCCCAGGCTGACTGTGCTGCAGGCTCACTGCCTAGCAGGTCTCTTACTCCTCTGTGAACTCCCCTACAGAAGTTTTCCCAGCTGTTTGAGCCCAGCTGGTGGAAAGGAAGGTTGTCTCTTCTCTCTCAAGGAAGTGTCAAGTAATTCTCAGCTCAGCAGCCTTTCCTCCTGCTGCCCAGCTCGCTTTAAGGAAGGGGTGACAAGCAGTGCCCATTATGGGCAGTGCCCTAGGAGTTTGCCCTGGAGACACCCCTTCCCCTGAGGCAATATTTGGAGCAATAGTGGACCAGGAAGATAAACATCAGATTAATTTCAGAGCGATGCTGTTTACTGTGTGCACTCTAATTGAATCTAGAGACCAAGTATGAAATCAGAGCTGATGAGATATAAGCATTTGATAATCCTTGCTTTGAAGCCCTACTTAAGTTTTTATTCTTCTCATATTGTAAATGATGAACATAGTAGTGCATGGGATTTACAGAATGTGTATCTCTGCCTCTCTAGGCTTTGCACACTTCAAGGACCTCCTCACACTGACAGCAAATGGTGTCCCTGGGCAGGTTTATGCAGGATGCATCCCAGGGCTCTCTGGGAGTTGTTGCTCTTTGTATAGCCAGGGGAAAAGTAGGAGAAATATCTTCAAGGCTTTATCAAAAGTATCTTTGAGCAAACTAATGCAGAGAATTGGTGCTCTGACATGTTCTTTGGTCAGTCAGAGCTCAGCAGAGAGGAGTTATTAGATGCCCTGCTTCCCTGTGGACTCTGGTTTAGGCATAAAGGCAAGGTGTGAGCCTAAGACTCAGGAATTTACCAATCCCTTGTGTATAAAAACCCACAGAGAAAGGTGGCTTGTGTGTGCACAGTTTTTTAATCCCTTCAGAGAGACGAACAACTTCTTGGTCTCTTGGGTGACCCCAAGAATAAGCATCACATTCCTGCCTGCCAGGGGCCCAGCAGGTGTCTTTTCAGAGGAGCCTAAGGGAAGGGATGTCCTCTCCAGATAATAAGGTGAAGGTGGTCATTCTGGTACTGTCTGCAGCTTATCTGCAGATACACTTTGTGATGCTTGTGTGAAACTCCTTTTGTGTCTGTAACCTCATGGGATGCTGTTTTCAAGAGAACCTGGTAGATGCTGAGCTCTTAATCAGCCCCAGTGTATATGGAAGTTGTAATTCCTTAGTAGAAGTATTTTTTTTATTCCATAATATCTTATCAGAAAGACAGTAACCAGTGTTCCTCTGGGGCTTACAGAGGAAATGAGTTACTCCTCTTCTGAGTAAAGGTTCATTGTGGGGTAAGGGCTTGTTACTAGATTAACTGGTTTCTTGAAACTCACAACTGGTATCTTTTATGGCAAAAAAGCTGAAAAGGAAGAGTAATTTAAAGTTTCCCAAAGCAAAGGACATAAAAGAGAGGGAAATTGCTATGGCTGATTTTCAAAGGGAAAAGGCATTTTGTTTCCATTTGTTTTGTGCCAGACTGGCTTCAGCCACACCAGTGTTAGTCCTGGCACAAAGGGTGCAGCTTTGCACAATATTTGGGGTGAAGGGGACTGCTCCTTCCCAGGGCAGGACATGTTTGTGTGGAATCAAGGTGGCTGGGGAACACACGTGTTCTTTTTCCACTTTTTTTCTTCTGTGATTAGTAGCCTATAATGTCTTGGACAAAGAATTTTGTTTCTGACAGTATGCAAGAGACTTTTCCTAGCACACTCAGCTGGTGTCCAGGAAGTCCACCACATGCTTCATTCTGTTTGTGACTGCAGTAATAATAGGTGCAGTTTTCCTGAACAGCCCGATAACCTGCACCATCCAGCACGACCATCTCCTGCCAGAGCCATCTTCATATTGCTGCAACTGCTTGCTCTAGAAATTCTTCTGTGTAGAAACACAGCTAGAGCCTCCAGAGGAGTAATTAAATCCCTGGTAAACTCAGCCACATTTTCCTACATCCTTACTGCTGTATTTATACTGGAAGATTTCTCCTCTGGCTCCGTGGCAGCAGCGATTTCTCACAGACATGTGGCAGCCTCACATACTGTTGATTATACTTTTTTCTTCCCTTTGCTGACTTTGCACTATCTCATTGTTTGGGCTGCCCAGTTAACAGTGTTACCTGCACATATTCCACTGGACCAGCCATATCTGGGGACCATTTTTATATCTGTAGGAGATTGGAGAAATGATTACTGGCTCAAAACAACTAAGGGGGGGGGTAGGACAAGTTCTGTGTGGGTGGGGTGGTCTGTGCTCCACATCCCACTCACTGGAGCCTCTGGTCCAGTCCCAAAATGGTTATCAAGCCACTGGCACCCCAAAAGCCGCACCTGGGGAGGGCCCTGGGAGACCAGAGCAGATAAAAGCAGTGGCACAGGTGTGGTGCTGGTGTGTCCCACTGCCTTGGACCTGACAGCAGCTGAGACCTCGCTGAGTCCAAGGCAGTGACTGGTCATCTTTCGCTCTCATTTGCCTTTGTCTCTCTCTCCCTCTCTTCTCCTAACTTCCTCTTCTCAAAATCTGCATAACTTAACATTGGATGAGTTGGAGCTTGCTAAGTCAATGCTTTGTGAAGTGCCTTTCTTTGATTGGATGTTGCTTTAAAATTTGCCAAGAACCTTATTCTACCTTAACATTCTAATGTTTGCAAGTAAAATTTGTTATTCAGCCTCATGAGAACTTTGTTGTTTTCTCCTGTGTGCTGCCAGAGGGAATCTAAGTACCTAAGCCCTTTGAAAACCCACCAAGCGAGCTCAGGGTGTAACAATATCCCACCTGCTGCAGGGGCTGCCCTGGGTTCTGGGCTGTCTGATGTTCTGCCAGCGAGCTTGGATCTCCACACCTCTGTCTCCCATGTGTGGATTTAGTTTTGGCTGCGTCTTGTGGATACAGCAGAGCCTTGCTTTTGGTGGCAGGACACTGGGGTTCAGGTCTGTTGGTCGTGGCAGGGGGAAGTCAGTATTGCCACATACTGAACACAGTTTTTCACTCAGCTGATCAGTTAATTTCCAGTTCACTTCCAGACACACTGTGGCTGAAGTACCAGCATGGAAAAGGATTCAGACTTTCTCAGTGGAAAGGCCTGAGCTTTCAGGAACAACTTTCTGTGGGCAGGACAAGGAGTAAGGAGACTGACACAGTGTGAGCACGATTGGGTTTACCTTCTGCACTTACAGGTGCCTTGTGTTGCACCAAGAACCAGCTTCTTGCAGGCTTCGTTTGGAGCACAGACAAGTCTAATGAAAAAATCTGAAAGCTTTCCTTGACTAGCCTCACTTCTAATGCTCTTTCTAACAGTATGTCTTTGTTTCAGAATCACCCATTTGCTGCTCTGAGGATTAATTGGCTTCAGTTCCAGCACCATGGATGAACTGCAGGATGTTCAGCTGACAGAGATCAAACCGCTGCTGAATGACAAGGTAATGCAGCTGCTGCTTTGTTCTCACAGTGTACTCAGGCTGACTTTGTGTCTGGGAAGGAGCCCTGATTGCCAGAAGCTGTTTACAGCTTAAAGTATCTTAAGTACTGAAAAACCCCACTCTGGTAATTTACCACCACACACTCTTCCATAGTCTCAGGGAATGACAGACCACCACAGTTCAGGTAAGTTTGGAGTCCTGGCCAAACAGTATGTCATGCCTGTAGTGAGGATTTACAAAGGCTGGGCAGAAAATGGGAAGGTGATCCCATTGTAGAACCTCTAATAAGTTTCTCCTTGTTAGAGGAACTTTGGATTATTGTATCCTATTTTCTTTTTTTGTTTAAAATATTTTGTCTTAAATTATCCTTTAGTGTTTTGACACCCAAACCAGCCCCGTCTCTCTGAATTTAGTAATGGAGAGCTGTTTCCTTTTAATGTCTCCAGAGCTCAGCTAGAGCAGTCCAGACTCATCCAATACTGAGACTTCTGAAAATCATCGTATTGCAGCAGCTGTTTAAGTCTTTCTGTTTTGTGGGCTGCAGAAGAGCCATCTAGGCTTTAGGAGAGCCCTGGCCTCTCTGGATTCTGCCACAAACTGTTGTTCTGAGTGCCTAAGTCATTATGGGCATCCCAACAAGATCTAGCATCTTGCACCTGCAAACTGTGATTATGAGCAATGCAGTTGGGTCGCTTTCCATAGCTCACAGCCAATCCCAATGGCATGGGAAGCAGTTCCCAAGGCTTTGCTGTTTAATGGCATCATCAAGAACTGGCTTGTGCTGCCAAAGGGTTGTGGTGCTCTGTCCACTCACCGTGTGCCTATAGGAGACTGGGCTGTCTGCCACAAAATGGATGAAATCTCTGAAATTCTGCTGTGTTTTAGTCTGTATGGATTAGTTTTTCCTCATTTCTCTAGTGTTCTAGCATATCTGTTTAGTACCTGTGAAATCTAAAAATTCAGCTGAACTCTGCAGTCCAGCTGCCTGTTCTGACAGAGTAGTGCTGACTGCTGGGCTTCCTCAACTCAATTTTTTGAAATATTTCCTGGAAGGTGAGTCTGGGAAGTACAAAATCAGTGTAGACCAGCAGCTAAAATACAGTTTGTGGTATTAACAAGAATTAAACATTTACAGAAGACAAGCTTCCTAAATGCAGTGCCCCAGATCTTGCTCATGATTCTCCTGGGATTTTCCATGTTTGAATTCAAGAGGGTAGATTGCCCTTGCTTCAGTCAGCTGACCTAAGTAGGAGGTATTGCAGCTTGCCAAAACAGTGGGTTTCACTTCAGAAGTTTCAGTCTCTGTGTCAAGTCTGGCCTGGTCAGTGCCATCCAGTCCTGGCTGTGGTGTGAGTTCTGGTTCAAATGCAGTGTGCTCATCAGAACAGAACACCCAGTGGTGGTAACCAGCACACAGAAGGGCACATATAGAGTGATACCTGCTTTCCTTGACTCAGTTTTGAACTTACAGAAAGTATACAGTACCTCAGTAGGGAAAAATACAGTGAGTGGCTCCAGAACCATCCTCAGTACTGCACGGGAAGAGAAGAGTGCTGAGGCTCCCCTTTTTACACTTTATTTTAACGAAGGGAGGGCCTCAGGGAGTGGCCAACTCCAAGGTCCAGCCCTTAGTAAGGTTTTCAAGCTTAAAATAATACGTGTGCTTTTTAGACATAGTTTATGGAGCATGTGGGTGTGGTGCCATAACGTGCTGTTCTGTGCAGCATATCAGAGTCCAAAATGTGTTGAGCTGGCAGTTTACTAAGATTTTTACTGACCAACCCACTTTAGGTGTAGGAGTTCGAACCAGCATGGATTAATGGCCAGAAATAGTACAGTAAAACTCTTAAGGTGTTAATGGGTGAGTGCTCATGCACTCTTCAGGTACAAAGGTACACAGAGAAGGAGCTCTGGTGTCTTAATACTCAAAACAGTGGAATTGCCTGGGAAATGGAAACAGGTCATATCTTGTTCACTTGTCTAACTCTAGTTAATGACACTGGGGACCACTGAGTCCTGGATATGTTCTGTCTCAAATCAGCAAAAAGTTACAAGCTTGACTTTTAAAGAATACAAACACATTTTTGTTTTTGAGTAGTTTAAGCCTGATAGCAAGTGCAGGGAAGTAAAATACACTATACTGGTTCACCTCATTCAGCCTCACTAAAATGCAGTAACTTTATATTGGAGAAGTAAAGGAACTTCAAATGTTCCCATTTAGTAGAAAGAGAGAGAAAAAGAGAGGACTGCCCCAGTGAAAAGTTACTGAAATGCCAGAGCCAGATTCAGGAAGTGGAATGAGCAGCCCTTAGGCTGGGTTGTGTTGGCCCAGCTAGCTCTGTATTTTGAGGTGCAGCCTGGAAAACTTGCCTTAAACTTTCTCAAGACAATGAATAAATGGTTTAAAGTCAGATTTTTGGTGTGTTAAAATCAAGTATGCAGGAGTCAGGGCATTTCAGCCCTAATGCTGCTTGTGCCTCATGGTACAACCTGACAACAAGCAGCCCAGTTCAGACCTTCATTCCTTGCTCTGTGTCATTTCCTCTCCATTCACTCAGGGGATTTCAGGCTTTTCCCAGTACAAATTCAGTTCAGCCTTTTCTTTACTTAGAATGCACCATCCAAATCCAGTGCTGGATACAGAAATTTCTCATTTCCCCATAGGTTTTGTTAAAGTCCCTAATCTCTGTGGCACTGGGTGACTGAATTGACCTTTTTCACAACCCAGTGGTGATGTCAGAAATCTCAATTAATTTCAGTGTCTCAAATTGAAATAAGAGGGGGCTGCTTTTTAGTTTCTTTTCCCACATCCTGAGGATTTGGTGGGTTTTGCCATGTTATGCTCAAAACATTGACAGGGTTCAATACTTACCACAGATGAGGAAAGGGGGGAATGGATCCTTAAAACAGATTTGCAGATATCTCAAATGTCTCAAACTGCAGAATGTAGGTAGCAACCTCTGTTCTTGCTAATGTGGCAAGGCCCTGCAGGGAGGAAAACAGGGCCATGTGTTTACACATGGAGAGGAGTGAGGGTACTCAGCCAGAAGAAATGTTTGGAGTGTTTCTGTTGTGCATATGTGATCCTAGTTGTAATTTTAGTGCTAAGGTGCTATGCCTAAAGCACATGAGCTGTAATGCTGTCTCAAGTGATTTGCTCAGCCTTTTCAGCAGCTGACAGCTCTCAGTGGTGTAACCTACTCTGTGGTCAGAGACAGTGTTAACAAAGCATGTGAGCACACAGACAGGTTCCTGCAGCCCCTCAAACCTGCAGGATGCCAAATGTGTGCTGTCCCGACTGTGTTCAGCTGCATGTGTGGGTCACCCTCTGGGAGCAGTCAGTTGTGAGCTGCTGAGCCCAGTTCCCATGTGCTGGGGTTTCAGTAGCTTGCAGGGTCCCTGTGTGTGCCATGGAACAATCCCATGCCCGTGGCAGTGACTGCATGGCCTGTTTTCCTGTGCTTATTACATGAGATCCCAGGGTTAGTCCTTCAAGAGTTTTGCATCCAAATTCTTAATGAACAGCAGGACCAGACAAACCCCAACCCATACCCAGCCCAGCTTTGGCCACGGTCCTTTCTATGTGCACTGTCCCTGCTCGAATGCTCTCAGCTGTGCCCACAGGTGCTCCCCTTAGGTGGCAGCCTCTGGACAGCCCCATAACTTTGCTGTGTACAAATGGGCAGAACTTGCATGAGGTTTACTTGTACAAGTCTCATATTTTGCCGCTGACCTGACTGCAGCCATGCTCGACTGTACTAAGACAGAGGTCTCTGAGGGGAACTTTCATGATGTTGTTGGGGGTGTTCTGGGGCACTGTGCTGAACTCTTTTTTCTTTTTCCTGTTTTTCATTAACAGAATGCAGCTCGCAACTTCCAGGACTTCGACTGTCAGGTAAGACACGTGTAGGAGACAAGGATTGGTTGATAGACTCCCCATCGCTCAGCAGTATTGTTGAGAGAGAGAGATGAAAAAAACCCTGTATCTTAATTTTAGTTCCTGTTGAGGTTTAATCAATAAGAACTGGAATATGTCCAGTGGCAGAAATTGCCCTTCACCCTTTCACGCCAAGCAGTTTCTTCTGAGTTCTAAGGTGCAGAGCTGGACTGCTCTGCCAAGGCTGCACAACATCTTGCAGGATGGCTGGTCTCCTGAAAAGCAGTTTCTTGGAAAAAGTCAATATGCTGAGGAACTTCAGCTCTGTCACATCCCATCTGGTTCACTGGCTGGGAAAGGAGGAGATTGCATGCTCTGTCTATTTGTCTTGAGAGGAGATGCCCAAGATACAACACCCTGCTCTGCTGGGCCTGGCTCTTGACACAGCCATGGTCGTTTTCCGTGAGTTTATCGGTGGTGCAGAGATGAGCCCAGGGGCTCTGGTTGCCATAGGAATAATCCTTTCAGAGGAGTGGTTGCTCCGCCAGCATCAAAGACAAAGGACACACTCTGTGATAGGGGGAGCGCAGCTCTGAGATTCCATGGGGCATCTTGTGGAGCACAGGCTCATTTTCCATGCCAGATTATCCTGCTGCCTTCTCACTGAGTGTGTGGATATGCAGCCAGCAGCTGTTCCTTCTCTCCAGTCATGGGAGGCTGCTGTGTCTGCAGTGCTCTGCTCAGCGCAGGACAGGTCACACAGTGCTGCTGGAGCACAGCAGCAGGGGTAGGGCTGCAATACCATGGGATAGATTTAATAAAAGTCTGTTGATGTAGATCATAGAATCACAGAATCAGCCGGGTTGGAAGGGACCTCCGAGATCATCAAGCCCAACCCTTGATCCAACCCCGCTATGATTCCCAGCCCATGGCACTGATGCCACATCCAGTCTCACCTTAAACACCTCCAGGGACGGAGAATCCACCACTTTTCTGGGCAGCCCATTCCAATGCCTGATTACCCTCTCTGTAAAGAATTTCTTCCTAATATCCAACCTAAACCTCTCCTGGCACAGCTTAAGACCCAGCCCTCTTGTCTTGCTGAGAGCTGCCTGGGAGAAGAACCCGACCCCCACCTGGCTACAACCTCCTGTCAGGGAGTTGTAGAAAGTCAGGAGGTCTCCCCTGAGCCTCCTCCAGGCTGAACAGCCCCAGCTCCCTCAGCCTCTCCTCACAGCACTTGTGCTCCAGTCCCTTCCCCAGCCTCGCTGCTCTCCTCTGGACCTGCTCCAGCCCCTCAATGTCCTTCCTGAGCTGAGGGCCCAGAGCTGGACACAGCACTCCAGGGGTGGCCTCACCAGCGCTGAGTCCAGGGGCAGAATCCCTGCCCTGCTCCTGCTGCCACACTGTTCCTGAGCCAGGCCAGGATCCATTGGCCCTCTTGGCCACCTGGGCACACTCGGGCTCCTGTTCAGCTTCCTGTCCATCCACACTCCCAGCTCCCTTCCTGCCTGACTGCTCTCCAGCCACTCTGTCCCCAGCCTGTAGTGCTGCATGGGATTGTTCCAGAAAACCACTTGCAAGCCTGTGCAGAACAGGAACGTAATAAATACAGTCCTATGAAGGTAGTTTGTGTTTTTTCCTTCTCTTGATATCACTGACAGTAGCCCCCATTTGGGCAGACACATGCCACTATACTGCTTTAGCTCCATTCATTGTGAGCTTTGTTATTATCTTAAAACCTCGAAGTATAAAAATCACTAATTTTAGCACATTGTAAATGTAGTTTCTCATCTGAGAAGCAGCAACAGTGTTAAGCAATGATTTTTCTGTGAAATAAAGGATAATGGTTTCAAAACACTTGCCTGTACCATCATATCTCCATCTATCTGTATCTTCTCTCTCACCTCTAGAGGTGAAGTGTGCTCACATGTCAGATGGGTAAGGGGTAAAAATAGGTGCAATGCCTTTGAGTAAGTGTTAGATAGCAGAGGCACTTCCTGCAGTGGCCTGTCTGCCAGGATTGGGAAGAATGTGAATGCGATGCCAGGGCGTATTGGCCTCCACTGCCAATCCTCTACTGACCCACCAAAGCTCTGGGTGTGCCCCTGTCCTGCCTGGCTGGGAGCAGTGTGGTCTTGGGAGCTGGAGCAGAGTGGGAAGGTGGGATGGAGTCCCTGTCCCAGAGCTGTGAATGGCTGCTGCCTTTTGGCTCTACGCTTTCCCTCAATCAGCAAAGCCTCTTTGTGCCCTTCTTTGAACAGAGCCCCAGATGTGAAGCTGGGCAAGCCCCACAGAACTCAGTGCTGCTGTTGTCTCTGCTCCCTGTCCTCCCCAGGGCTGAGCTTTGGGAAGAGCTGAGTGGGCTGCAGCCAGGGAGAGGGGCTCTGGGGAGTGCTTCTCTGCTTTGCTGTAGATCAGCAGTGAGCTGGTGGCCATGGCAACAGTTGGGCAGGAGGCGAGATGTTCCTTCCGGGAGCCCTCTCGGTAATTCATTTACAATACAGGTTTTTTTCAGCAAGATGTTAATACAGTGTCTCTTGTGACTGTAAATGCTGTCCTAACCTCACCTTTCTCCAGCATCTCTCCCTACAAGGTGCACTTTCAGGGCACACCTGGCTTGTCACCCCCCCCTTCTGCTCCTACCTGGAAAATACCCCAAGGGCTAGATTAAATCTCTGTTTGAAATCTGCCAGCAAGGATAGATGTCGTTGGGTCCTTGGGTTATCTGCCTCAGTTGCTAGTACCAGGAACAGTTCTTACACTGGGAGATTGAGCTATTGTTTTGTCCTGTGAAAAATTACTGCTGCTTTTTGATCTGGCAAAGCACATCCGGCTGCATATCCAGGCCTATGTGCCACTGAGTCAGTGTCAGGGCAATTTGAAATAAAGAAGTTTGCCAGGGATTTCAGACGAAGGAAGATCCTGTTGTGTAGAGAAAGACTTAAAAGCACCTAGACTGAGGCAGGGGTTTAATTTGTCCTGAGTTTCACAGGGAGGAAGAACCTTGGGGAGAATCTCAGTTTAAGAAGAATAGGCACAAACTGACTGATGAAGGCTGATAACTGGAAGATGGTTTCCAGTTACAGTGCAGTGAAGTTCCCAATCATCTTCCAATAGCAGCAACATCTGCAAGGGTTTTAGGGCAAAAATTAAAGGGTTTGTGGGATGGATAATCTTATACAATGCAGTGTTTGCAGTATGAGAGCACAGCATCAGTGATGTGAGACCTGCATTTCAGACCTTTTTATTTTTCTAATAGTTCAAAAGAAGTTGTTTTAGATGGAGACAAAGCTGTGGCTGGGACTGGGGCTGACCACATCCTGTGCTTGCAGGGCTGCAGGCAGTGGGGTGAGGTAAGGGGGTGGCAAGGAGAAGGTGAGACTCTGTCAGCACTGTTGATAACCCTGTTGGCAGTGCAGGTCCAGTTTGAGCTCCCCAGTATAAGATCTTGACATGTTGGAGTGAGTGCTGTTTTATTTCAGTCTGTGTTATTCTGTGCCCTCGGTCACGACGTCATTTGCTGTAAGTCCATCCCAGAATTTCATAGAATATTCTGAGTTGGAAGGGACCCACAAGGATCATCGAGTCCAACTCTGAAGTGAATGGCCCGTACTGAACCCACCACCTCTGGTGTTATTAGCACCATGCTCTAACCAGCTGAGCTAATCTCAGTGTCCCAGCTCCTCCCAGGACTGACTGATGCCCTGCCAGAGCTTAGCCTTGGAAACAGCTGGAGTAACATCCAGCTTCAGTGTTTGGTTGTTTGGTGGTGCCTCTGGCTGGAAGCTGGGGTTTCAAAATGTTCTCTGCAGCTGGGCCATGCTTATGAATGGGAGAAATGTTTAGTTTAATCCCAGCTCAGGAGCATGTCATTAGCACTGTCACTGACTCCAGGAGGTGTGTAGTGCCAGGCACACAGGTTCCCCACGCTGTTTTCTGTATAGCTTTGGCATATGTTACTTTTCAAGTTTTCATGTATATTTAAGGTTTGTAAGATCTTTCTTTCCTTTGGGGAAAAGGGGCATTGCCATTGGGAATTTCTATTCATTTCCTCATGTGTTTGATTTATGTTTAAATAACTTGCCAGGATCAGATCTGGGCAAAGTCAACAGCACAAGCATCCTCCTGCTTCTGAAATTTGTTACTCTAGGTGACTGTGTGTGAGGAAGCTTTTGGCTTTTCTGGTACAACTGACTTCCAGGTAGAGCTGCCCTGGTTTTCCTAAACTGTACATCTGCAAGCAACCCCAGCTAACCCTGACATATAACAGATTGCCTGGCATCAGTTAAACGACGCCACATAATCTGGTAACTGCAATGGAGATGAAATGGAGAGATAGTGTGGGGGCTTAGGGGTCTTTATCAATAGGAATGTAGGTTATTCTCAGAACTAAAAAGTATTAACCTAAATCTGAGACCTACATTTTACTTGAAAGCTATATGAACCCTAATGAAATCTAGGCTTGGCTTTTTCCACTGTCCCTGGGCAGATGGTGGAATAAACGGTCTGTGCTGCAGATGGACAGATGGTGTGGTGACCTGTGCCATTAACAGAGCTGTGCCTGGGCTTTTATTATTATCCAGACCCTCTTCAGCCTTCAGAAGTAGGTGTTCTGTCTCAGCCTAAGTCTCTCCCCTCTGATTTGCTTTAAATAGAAATGAAGAAATATACAGATATATTTGTAAAACTATCCAAATAAACCTGCATTATGTTTCAGTCTGACATAAGCTGCCATTTGATCTCATGTGTAGCTGACACTTCCCCTCTGCTGCCTCCCACCAGCAGGAAGGCAGAGAAGTGTTTGGCTTTCAGGAGAAGGGGCCTTGGGGTGTGGAGATGGTTTGGGATTTGGCTGAATATTTGCAGAAAGCAAACAATGGGTGGAGGAGGTGGGAATAAGTGCAGGACATACAATTCATCTGAAACAGAAAAGACAAGGCATGCATAAACCCTTGGAGGAAAGGAATTAAAGCTTCCCAGTACAAAAGCTTGCTGGATGTCTTGCTGGAATTCAT